TAACTATTTTGTAGGAAGTAAAGGGACTAGACTGGTTTAAATCGAATATATCTGACCGATTTTAGTTTGTTCATGTTAATGATAAATATTCCTCATCTTTCAGGGTTACCTGTGAAGTACCACAGAGATCAGTGCTAGGACCAATTCCCTTTAGTAAATATATGCTCCCAATTAGTAGAAAATTAGACAGCATGGAATTAATTTCCACTGTTATGCTGATGATACTCAGCTGTATCTGTCTATAAATTCAAATTACATAGATTACAGGCATGTCTTAAAGAGATAAAAAACTGGATGACTCTTAACTTTCTGCTCCTGAATGCAGACAAAACAGAAGTTGTAGTCTTTGGACCCGAGTCTTTGAAAAAGAAGCTGATTAGTCAGACACTTCATATGGATGGCATTATATTGATTTTAGATAATAAAGTAAAAAAAATCTTGGTGTTATTTTTTATCAGGACCTGTCATTTAAATCCCATATCAAAGAGGTTTCTAGAATTTCCTTCTTTTATCTATGTAATATTACAAAAATTAGAAATATCCTGTCCAGGAGTGAAGCTGAGAAACTAGTCCATGTATTTGTTACTTCAGGGCTGGACTATTATAATTCTTTACTATCAGGAAGTCAACAAACTGTAGTTAAAAGCCTTCAGCTGATCCAAAATGCTGCAGCAAGAGTTCTGATGAAAATTTAAAATAGAGATCATATCTCTCCTATCCTAGTTTCTCTTCATTGGCTTCCTGTTGAATCCAGAAAAGAATTTAAAGTCTTCTCCTTATATATAAAGCCTTACTGTAAGTGGCCAAGTTCCATCTTACGTCAGAGATATGATTGTTTCTTATGTTCCCAACAGAGCAAGTCACCGCCTCTCCCTGAGATTTGCTCTGGGTACCTCAGGAAGATAATTGAGGAGGACAGCGGTAGCTCTGAGAAGCCTGATGAGGAAACACAGCCAGAGCAGGGAAGGCTCCATGCCTATCTGTGGATAGCTATACAGGCAGTAGATTGGATAATTCCGGTGGGCAGACAGAGTGCTAAAGGTGGGTGGGAGGCTGCAGCTCACCAGAAAAGAAGAAAAAGCAGTGGCTGGCCGGTGTCTGTCATGGAGGTAGGACGATGAAACACTCTTTCTAGGGCTAAATTAAAATGCCTTTTTTTAAAACCACCTAGAACCTCTTAAGAGTATTACCTTCTTCATCCTTTGTTAACATTATTTTCTCTATCTTCAACATTGATTAATAAAAAGTTGTCTCTGTTGCCTCCTTCACTGTAGGTCAGTGAAATCTAGTCCCTGATTGGATTTCGCAATGCAAATGAAAAGATTGAAATTTTTCAAATGGTGTTAATTTCTCTTCGCATAATTCTCAAACTTCCACGAAAAGACTGTATGTGCATCATACAAGTCAAATGGTCAACAACCAAATGTTACTGGCAAAAAAAGCCAAAGCAGATGAGGTATGATGATGAAGAAGTGGTAGGAGGATGATGGCAAATAATGTTTTTTCATGAGTTATCATGTGATTAAACTAATTCACATGTAACTTTGATTGCATTTCTTATTTAATGGAAACACAACAATCGCAAAATTGTTTATTTTTCAACATTAACAAAGTATTGACAAAGTGTAATCAAAGCGCAGCTATTTTTTTCACGAAAGAGTGAAAAATGGCTATACTGCAGAATGCTGTCATGTTTGACATGTCTGCTTTGAAGAAGGGGCCTTGTAAGATATTAAGTTTTTTTTGTTTTTTTTTTTAAGAAAGCCAAAAGGTTTTTTAATTACATTATCTGAAACATTTCACTTTTGCCTTTGTTAGCTTTATGATTCTCAGTGATGGGACTAACGGCGTTGAAAGTAACGGCGTTAGTAACGCCGTTACCTTGTTTTAGTAACGAGTAATCTAACTAATTACTTTGACTGTAACTATAACGCAGTTACCATTGCAGACACCCCGTTACTGCGCGTTACTCAGGTCGCACAATGAACCTTTTTTCATGATGGGACTCGTGCGCAGCTGCGTGAAGCTGACACCCCACCCACGTCAAAAAACTCTGCAAATAGACTGAATGGTTAGTGCAACGTTAGTGCAGATTTGTGCAGAAAAAAATATTGTTTGTGCTACTTTTGTTTAAGAGATATTAAAGATTATTTTTTAGGTCATCCAGAGGTGCGCGCCTTGTCATGAGAGAAGGGAGGATGAGAATGGCTGATGTATAGTGAGATTCCGTCTGTCAGTTGGGTAGGTGGGTGTTTCTGCTGGTGAGTGTTAACGTACAGCACACACAGAGAGATGGAGAGTGAGGATGAATCCAGCAGCAAAACAGCGTTTTCCTGATGGAAATACCGGTGTTACGTCGAGCTGCATTTCCCCACCACATAACGGTTTCCTTTGCATCTCCGCACAGCGCAGGCGGCAAGAGTCACCGCGCAAGCGACAGGAAACGCGCATGCTCGCTAAAGGTGCGTAACAGCCGCCCTGTGCTCGCGCCACAGGACAACTATGGAGAGCGTGAACGACCAAATGATAGCCTATATGGAGAAAGGGAGAAATCTGGATGGATGGATGGATGGATGGATGGATGGATGGATGGATGGATGGATGGATGGATGGATGGATGGATGGATGGATGGATGGATGGATGGATGGATGGATGGATGGATGGATGGATGGATGGATGGATGCTCTGACTTTTCAAAATACTGTATTTTTTATTTTAAACATTATTTGATGGCCTTTGTGGCAGGGATGGAGATCCATATTTTATGTCACACACAGAGTATACATCTAGATAGATAGATGTTGCAGTATCTATAACAACCCAAACACACAGGATTTCAGAATTAGACATCCTCAGTTATTAATTTCACCAGATCTGAATTCCCTGTTAAAAAACTTTACATCGCGTTCCCCCGATGTCATTTACGTTGAGTTACAAGAAATGCAAAACTCTCTGCAGGTTCTTGTCTTTGTCATCCGCTCTATTCAGCTGGCTTTGGAAACACACCGCGAGAAGGTGGGGGCTGGGTGGTGAGGTTTACGGGGGCGAGAAACGCAAAAGTAACGCAATAGTTACTTTTACTAGTAACTAATTACTTTTATTGTGGAGTAACTCAGTTAGTAACTCAGTTACTTTTTGGGACAAGTAACTAGTAACTATAACTAATAATTACTTTTTCAAAGTAACGTGCCCAACACTGATGATTCTAAAGAAAACTTGCTTTAGAAACAACTTTTCAAAGTCTGACTGCAAAGGGTTTGGCATAAGTTCTCACTCTTTAAACTTGACCACCCAGAGGCAAACATTAACCTTCAGCTGATCCAACATTCAAAACATGCCTGCAACTAAACTGTCAGAGTAGCTAACACATAATCAATAATACTTAAAGTCATTCAGGCTACAGGGCCAATATGAGCTGGTTTTTTCAAAATGGTACCCTCATCACTCCCCACAAAAGGCATAGTTGAGGATTTTTGCGAGTTTTTAACAAAACCCGCCCTTTCATCTTAAAAAAATAAAAATGCACATGCACAACCATGCCTATTAAACGTGTGTGAGACTATGCCAGAACCCATTTCCTCTCATGCACACTCTGTTTAAAAGTTGCTGTTTGCATCACTCATACAAGCTTACTTTCCAAAAGAAGATTTGCATCTATTCCACTATGTCAGATTCACCTCAAGTAAGTGAAAATGGGGACGAGCACGTAAGACAGCCTTACGTAAACATATCACAAGAATGATTGATAATTAGGAGGACCAATTATTTTGATGATCCATCTGGAAAAAGAAAATCCTCCATTATATCTTTAAGTATGATGACGTACATCATGGTCCAAATAACCAGGAGAGATATGAGGAAAAACACAAAAACTGCTTCCCACCACTCTTTTGCATGCAATATCCTCCTATTACAAATGTTTGAACACTTCTAACTGGTACAAAGTTTTAAATCCTTCTGAAGTAATAATTCATTCTTCTATAAAATCTAAACAAATCCAGTACAAACGCAAGGCTAGTTACTCTTAGAATTATAAACAGCAGGGGGGAGGGCTGTAGGGTTGAAACAATTAATCTTATTAACTGGAATTAACTGATGAATGAAACAATCTGCTCATTTGTCATCATGGAGCCTGTTAATGCCAAGAATTATTTATGAAGCATAGACAGTTCCAAACAATGTATCCTGACAAAATAGCACAACTCACCAGTGAACCAGTTAGAAAACTGAAAGTAAGAGCTCATTGAATTGTCTGTGTAAACTGCCTCGAGGTTACATATATTGTGAATTGGCACTACATAAATAAACTGAAATGAATCTAAAACTTTATTTTATTATTTTTTTTAATAACACTATTTATATAGATTTGAAAAAGACTATACTAAAACATTAAGAAAATACTGAATTTACATGAAGTTTAAGTGAACCTCAATGGACAGTACAGGTGAACTTCATATGACCAATTGAGGTAAATTTGGTCGGTGACCCCTTCTCTAGAGTGTCAAATTGATAATTTTGTCGGGGCTCCATAAGAGTTATGCTCAACCCTACTAAAACTATTTGAAATGATTGAATGATTTAAATTAAAGTAAATCAATAGCATGGTAGTTGTCCAATAGCCACTAAGCTGCATGGCACTGTAGTAAACTATTTGTAATTTCAAGAACTTTATTCTGAAGGTACTTATAAATATAAGTATAGCTAAGTTTTCTATTCAATAAGGTGCTAAATTTAGTATAAAAGCAGACTCCTCCACCATGATAGTGCATCCTAAGTAAAAAATATTAAGGGCAAGGCTATTGTCTTCATTAACCAAACTTTTCAATTACAACACCATGGTAAATTAGAATATTCAATGTATCCAGTGCATATTCTAAAAAGCTATATTACAATAAGCACTGGAAGGCCTCAAATTAACTTAGATTTTATGGCCTTTTGCATAGAAAAAAACAAGCTCTGCAGGGTCGTACAAATTATAAGTCATACATCAATCACTTACCGGAGGGCCTGGCTCTCCTTTGGGACCATTCAAACCATCTTCATACTCATAAAATATTTCTGGCTCCTCAAATCCATAATCATATCCTCCATAGTCCTGGTCTTCGTAGCTGCCGTCCAGACCATGATGTTCTGAAGAGTCCACCTGGTGTTCCCTGTACAAAGTGGTACCATTGACTTTTGGATGAGACTGTAGAATTCGGTGAGTCTGTTGAGGCCCGAGATCAGAGTGCCTAAAGTTGTTCCGGAGTCCTTCTATTGCTTGGGTTTGCATAATTGGAGATGTAAGGGCTGTAAAATCTTCTACATGTAGATTTTTAGAGTTTCTCCCTTCCTTTGTACTTATCTCTGTGTGATCCGTATCTGCCTTGGGTTCACTTTCTTTGGCGAACTCCATTTTTGTTGTACTGAATGTTCTACTGTGGGTGAGGCCCTGTGCTTGTCTACTTAGTGTTGCTTGTGTTAGGCTGTTAGGCTCAAACAAAAACGTGGACGGGGAGGTTGAAGGTTTCAGTGTGAAAATGTGGTCTTGTTTCCTTGGATATAGCTCTGTTCTTGGGCTCAGAGTTGAAGACTGTATGTTAACTTGATTACTTGGCAACAATTGGTCTGTTGTTGGAACTTTGTTGGAAAGTTGTTGATGGGTAGCTAGTACTCCTACAGGGGGCATTGTTGAAGGGTTAGATGGGCTGTCATTAGCTTCTAAATCCAAACCAGAACCCAGAAAAGACGATCGATAAGTGTCGGCCAGCCGGCACTGTTTTTTAAGGTAGTTGCAATAGTTTGCGGCAGCTTGAGCTGAAGGGTAGATGTCTAACTGGCAGACTTTACCAATAAATGGAACTGCCTTTGAGTTCATCCTACCCAATGTGAAGAGATTCCCAGATTCTCCCAGTCTCTGAGACCTCCCCAAAGTCTGCTCTCGTTGCTGAACTGCTCCACAGTCCTCATAGAAGGACACTGACTGCGCTCGGACACCAACAGCAAAAGCATGCTGCTGTCCATCCTTCCACTTATGGTTGAAGTAGCTTGTGGATTTCTCTGCAGTGTAGACTACTACCTTCCGTGAAAGCAGCTGAATGCCAAAACGGAGTCTGTCCCTGCTATCTTTGACACTAAAAACAAAAGCATTGTTGGCTCGCCAGGAGCTTAGGCTAATCACAAAAGAAAACTCAACTCCAAAGTCTGAATGGAACAGACTATTTGCTGGGATCTCATAGAGGGATGTTGCATTGAAAACCACCCCATATCCAGGAACTGGGATATTCAAAGGTTGGGGACCATTGGTGGAAGTTGTATGCGGCGACGCTGTCCCATTGCTGGAAATGTCTGTTCTGCTTTGATTTGTAAGTCCCAGCTGATAAAGAATATCCACTCCTGTCGAAAATAGGGGAAATTGGTCAGATTTACATGCTATGGCTTAGTCACTATTTTTATATCAAATGGTCTTAAAGCTACTCAGTATCAGACATTTCTTTGCGGGTTAAGCACCTTAAAAAGAATCCATGAAACTAAAATGGTATTTTAAAAGGAACAGCAATGTTTTACAATGTTATGATTTAATACTATTTCTAAAATTAATTCAGTTCATAGCATAGAAATTACGGTGTCCAGACTTTTCTCTTCTTCCCTTGGAATCAAAAAACAGGCCTATTATAGTAGCTACATACATCCTGTTAGACTAAAAAAAAATGGACAATAGCATTGAAATAAATTGAGTTGCATCATACTTATCATGGTGCATAAGTTTAATGTTATGTTGTACATAAGCATCTGCATTAAGCAGTCAAATATTATCTGTTAATATAAAATTAAGCTACTCTACAAAGTGCATGAAGAAAGGGTTACTATTCTCAGTACTGAGATGAAACCAATATTTTGTGGGTAGTTATGTGATATATTTTTCCATACTATGCATTAGATTAAAAAAAATAAAAAATTCTATTTACTACTCACCATGTTTAATTTGCCCATATAGAAATAAATTTAGATTTGTTTTTTTTTTTTTTGTGTTTTCAATAAATCACTGAGATCATCTTAATTATTCTATAAAAACTGTGATATGCCAAAACTGTGATATTTCTAATTAAGGTTATAAAACATTGACAATAGACTACAGGTCCATGTCTGATTTTTGGGGATTGTCTTCTTATTCTCCTAATAGTAATAGTTTAAATATATTTAACAACTTTTTGTTAACATGAAATTTGGGAGCTCTGCCTAGGACATGTCTTTTTTACATATCTGAAAGCTGATTAAACACAGTGCTATTAATAAAGGTTCCCAGAGACACTCATGATGTACTCTCTGTTTTTTTTTCACTCTAAAAGATAAATGCAGCTGCAGTCCAGATGGATAGAAATAATTAAAAATGCATGAGGCAGAACAAGGTTTCGGAGAACTGGCTTTTAAAGTTTATCAAAACAATCTGCAACCAGGTCTTTATATAAAAAGGCCTTGTCATTCTTTTTCGCCTTCACATGTAGGGAGAATTTATGCTGCATTTGGTCAAGTTGAGACACAGCTTGGCAAAAGCCCAAAAACATTACATAATGACAGGTCTGCTGCTCACTTTTGGCATGGAGTAGAGAATAGCACGCAGATCTCAAACTGAATTTTCTAAAAAAAAAAAAGTATCTTTTTCAAACACAATATCACTGATTAGAATATTATTCTATAAAACTTGCCAACATGTGTAACAACAAATAAATCAAACATGATGCCATTGATATAACAAGAGTCTTTGAGTGCTGTTGGGGTTTTTGAGACACAATTGGAACAAAGTAAAATATAGCATGAGGAAATGTGGATAGACCAAGAGGAACATTTTCAGTACCATAATAGTTTTAGTTATTTGTTGATGATTTTGCTGGATAAAAATAGTTTGTTGTAGTGTTCAACAGGCCTATGACATTTCTCCTGAAGAATCCCAGCCAATACTTCTTTGGCAAAACGTTCAGACTCCTTCTTATTTGATGGCTTTCTGGCATGCACTTATATTTATAATTCCCACAGATTTTCAATTGGAGACAAGTCAGGACTTTTTATAGGTCAATCAGTAACTTTCACTTCCATCTCCTCTAGAAAGTTTTCCCAAGTTGTGATGTATTTTTGAGGGTAATTGGCAACATAAAAGTAATAGAGTGTAATAACTGTCTTTAGTTAGGATACTTCTGACTCGCTTGAATCATTTCTTAGTGATGTTTGGGGTTTCCTAAAAACCTCTGTCACAAGTCTTCTTTACAAGGTCTTCAGAGTGCTTCCAATCTTTGCCTGGCTCGTTCTGTGCTTCAGCTCTAAAAAAAAACATTTTCCACATCTTGACATTTGTCAATATAGTAAAAACTTTAGTTGAACTTGCTCCTTTGTGAGTATTGACAACCCCTTTCTCTAAAGTCCAAGCTGACTTATTTTGTTTTGATATTTTCTCAATGTAGAGCTAAAATCCTTACTAAAATAATTTTTACCTGTATACTCTTACTGTTAGTCTAAAAAATAAAGCTGAATTCAGGAGCGCTGAAATTTAGAAATTAGAATACTGCGCACTTGCTAGTGCTCAGTAAAATTAAAATTATCATATTTCAGGGAGATCATCATTTTTTAGTTCTTATTTTGTTAATTTCAATAGTGTATGCACAGTAAAAACATCCAAATTAATTCCAGAATGTTTAAAGAAATATTTTTAGTGCTCAACTTAACCTGTATATATGCATGGGTGTACTTTACGTTTTGCAATTTAATACTTTTGTACTTTAAGAGAAGCTGCCTCTTAAGCTTGTGTGCAATCCTCTTCCATGTATTACAATGGATTGAGTTTTCTTGCTTGGCTTGTGAGATTTACAGTAAATACAGTATGTGGGTGAATGACAATGCAAGAGGGAAAATTCTGCACCCTTGGGGCATTCTAGTCATTCAGTGAGGGGAGCAGTACACACTGTGAATAGATGTTACTAAAATAAATGTCAAAAAAACCTGTATAAATCAATTTTTTTTTTGCAAAACTAAATGCCCAATCCTAGCAATGAATGTCTTTTCATTCAAATACAATCAAATTTGTATAAATAGTAATGATACAAATTATTTAAAAGGAACACACAAACTAAACATGTCTTCTATATGTCACAGGATGACACATACGGTACTGAGGTGTTGCTATTTACCTTGAGCAGAGTAGTTGTTTTTTGCAGATACTGCTGAACATACTGACAGGAGCAGGAGAAAGTTCCACCTAGTGAGGGAAACAATTATGTTAATAAGATATATTGCCATGAAAAAATAGTGGGATTCTCCATCAGGACTGTTGTTCAAGTGACCTTTTTACCTCCTGTAATATATTAAACATGTGACTCCTTATATATCCCACTGACAAGGACAAGGCTTTCCAAGAAAAAAAAAAACAGTTCTAAGAAAGTACAAAGCACCTATTGTTAAATCTGCAACTCTATTGGAAAGAACAAAAAGATTTATAACTTGATGGAAACCAAGATAGAAAAAGCATTCATGGTATAAAGATTTAGATACACACAAATATCAATGTGGGTAATGTTCCAATATAGGCCAACCATCTTTAAATATTTTTTTACGAAACATTTAAATCCTATTAATTTTCTAATTATTTTAATTCCTTTTCATGTCACCTATATTAACATTCATAGAGAAATTTCCATTGAACCAAGATCTCTTAAATGATCAGTGGAACCCATTAAAGAAATGGTCACAAACTATACCTTATGCTCCTCTATGATAATTTAATAGTCAGCAGTATGTTGCACTTAGAAGAGTGCTATTTGGTATTGGTGCTGCAGAGTGAAGTACACTCCAAACTGTTGAAATGAAGAAAAAGGATATGCAGAGATAGAAAGTATTTTACTGGAAGCTATGTTTTCTGTGGCAGGTTGAGAAGGGTATATGTTCATTCAGCATACAAGAGAGAGTGCTGATTCAGCAACTAATAGGGGTGTTGAGTAATCTACAACAAAGTTTTTCTTTTCAATTTTTTACGATAAACGTGTCATGGAAGATGCCAGATTTGGATATTTTGTCCAAATTTTTTGAAACCTTAAATATTTTAGGAATGTATCATATATACACACGGGAACTGCAGTGAAAATATTTATTCATATAACATATAAAAGCTAGTTTTCTTATGCAACCAGCAAATCTTAAACAGAAGCCTGTCTTCTCTGTAGATGTGAAAAATTTGATATTTGTATATCTGAATGTGCAGGTGAGAGTCATGCAGAGAATATTAATGCAGGACTGTCAACTCTCACCCATTGTGTGTGAGACTCACACATAACACTGTCCTGACGCGCTTTCACTCCATATCCACAATTTCTCACACATAAAAATGACCGACATTAAAACTCTATTCCATTTCACTTATTTAAATATACAAATACCATGCTGATAAAAATCCAGTCTGTGTTTTCAACACAACCTTAGTGCTAACACACAAGTACATGCCAGGTTTATTTCCAGTCCGTATTTTTGCACCAGCCAACCTATTCACTGTGCTGAGAGCAGCAGAACTGAAAGACTTGCACAAGATATAAAAAAAAAAAAAAAAAAAAGAGATTTCTGAGCAGTCATTAGGAGGTATGTCATTGGATTTTTGATCTTATCTTATCTGGACTAAAATAATTTACTTGTAAATTAATGAATATTTTAAAGGGGTCATTGAATGCAAAACCGAGTTTACATTGTCATAGATTAATAACGATAGTTCAGTGGGCGAAATGGACATACAGAGGAGTTCAAACCCCATCAACACCTCCTTTCTCTGCAAATCTCACAATTCTAGACTTCCACCATAAAACGGGCAAATCCAGACGAAGCCCCGAACTGACGTAAACTCGGGATGTTGCCTTATTTGGTTCTGGCCTGTACTTTTGTCACGCCTCGAAATTAACATACAGACCAGCCCACATGTTTACTGGCCCAAAGGAGGGGGGGTTGGGGGGTAAGTAGTATCGACTGACTGGACCGGACCTCACCAGAGAGCCACGAGTCGCCCGTCCTCAGCCGAAGGGGCGGCAGGTGAGGGGAAGCACGGGCTGCCTGTGTCCAGGCTACCGTCACCGGGTCGGGTTCGGTTGCTCCGTCCCCCACTAGCTCAATGCCCCCGTCCGGCTGGGGTTCCCGGAGCAGCCCCGGAGTTGATGGCTTGGTTTCGAGTGCCTGGTGTGTTTCGACTACATGCTGCACTGTAGTCAAACTAAATCCCGGACGATTTAGAAATTCCCCTAGGAATTTTTTTTAGGTATGAAAAGTAGGACATGTCCGAGAAAAGGAGGACATCTGGTCACCCTACCATATCAACAATTTCGATGTTTCAGTGAGTGAGTGCTTGTTGCTATGATCTGTCTTTGCTCAGCAGCTGCGCTCGTTGTAAACCAACCAATCAGCCCAAAGCTCATCTAAATATTTATGAGCATACCATAAAAGGAAGAAAACCTTTTCTAGGGTTTATATGCAAATATGCCATTTTCAGCCCAACCAATGCTACACATCCTATTCAGATACCTTAAGGATCAGTACCAAATACCCTGTATAATCATTCTATGACCCCTTTAAGCAATCTAGTACTTGAGTAAATATGAACAAAATATACAACAGTTGCTTAAATCATCAATGTGGTGACCGAGTGCAGAAAACTCATCAAATTGATAACAAATGGTTTGTTTTCTCTATACCTAGTGCTTTTTTTGTAAGATGATTTAGTCCAAGTTTGTTTTGCACACAAGTTGAATAATTATCACTCAGTTTAATTGAATAATCCCCTGTTGGATTTTAGGACTAAAAGCAACACAAACATCTAAATTCTTAAAGCTTTCAGGTATGGCAGTATAGGGCAGTTACTAACTTTGTACTCACAAACCCAAAAGAAAAAGATTATAGCCAACCTTAAACAAGTAAAAAGTAATAATGCCACAGTGTGTCTAAATGGAACAACACACAAAAAAGATAGCAAAACCTTTTCCTACTCCCCTCGGTAGAGTGCTGTTTAGGTCGCCAAGTCAGGAGAGACAAGAACATTGTGCAGCCAAATTTAAGACTGCAACTGAAGATGATTCATCCACAGAAAGTGTTGTACTTTGGATGGATGGTCCACTTCTCTTACTGTTTTCCATGTTTGCAGGCTGCTGCCCCTATTGTCAACATGAAATAGCAAATTTTGCACCCTTTTTTGGCAACTCTAGGAGCTCTCATATAATTGGCTCACGCTGCACTAAAGCAGTCACATCTTCTACCTCTGGATTTCAAAGGAGATAAACTTGACTAAGACAATATGGAGGGGACTGAATGTTTACACGAAGTTTTACTTACACTCTGGTTGACAAAATGTGAATGTTTTTTTTTTTATGGTAAATTTCTAACTTTTTGGTTCTTTAAGTAAATGTAAATGAATAAATAGTGACTTAAGACCTCTTCACAATACCATACAGAGTGTCAAATCATTTTCACAATAAAGCTGAAAATTATTTTTTTCAAATTGCAACTAAATCAGTCAGATCAGCAGAAACAACTTATTTTAGAGGTTATAACAATCATTATAACCAGCTATCGTTTTACAACTCTGAGGGTAAAATGTCTCCATTCAAATCTAAAGGGAACCTTATGAAAATATATTTACTTCCATAGAACTTTCCAAATTTCCGTGGGTTTTCTTTACTCAGTAAATCACATGCAAGTATTTTACATGACGGCAAACAGCAGCATAAGTTCTACAACATTCTCCCTTGCAATTTGACAAGCAAATCACTGCCTCCAGTGTACAAAGATCCATGTGTTTCTGTGAGCTTGAGTGACAAGAAAAATACAATAACAGTCATACATTAAAATGAAAAAATAAAGAAAAACTAATGGAATAACTGTATATTAAACTGTTAACAGTATACTTTTCTCTTGAAATGTGTGGGACATCCAACCATCTGATTCTGATCGCGATGTTTTCATACCATCTTTTATTTAAGCTCTTGATTTTGTGGCTTCAAAACAATTGTGCAAAGTACTGTATTTATTTGCAGTTCAACATGCACAATAGGTTGTAAAAATAATTTTAACCTTTTTGTTATATGGCATTTTACAAACCCTCCCAAAAATTAAAGAACTAAGACAAACATGCAAAATTTTCCTTCCTGTTCTCATTTTGTATAGAAAGCAAAGGCTGCAAAATGCAGCAGATTACCAGCTCTTGCTAAACGTAAGACAACAAGTTTGTCCTAGACAGAGTTCTGTTGACTGAGGGAAATACCACTATGTGTGGGGGGAGGTTTGAGAGGGGGACCCAAATGCAGAGACTGAAGCTGAAGGTGGTTTCTTGCAGATTTAATTTAAAAGGTGACAACAGAAGCAAAAATGCAAATGCTTAAATCCACAAAAAAAAAAAAAAAAACTGAAAACCAAGATGACTCACAAGAAGGGCAAAGAAATGACAATAAACCATCAGTCACTGTTTGATATAAAACAAAGACCAGGCTATCAGCACATTGGGAGCAGGTGTGGAAAAAAAGAATCTAGAAGGGAGCTAGGGGAAAGAAGACTGACACAAGAGGGAAACAGGGAGCTTACAAGAAATCAAGAAATACATAAGAACTGAAATACAATCAAAAATAAGTTGAATGACACAAAATGGAAAGGAAATAATGATAAGTCAAAGAGAAAACTTAAACAGAACCAAAACCATGACAGACAGACAGACAGACAGACAGTATTTGCAAGACCTGACTCAGTTCCAGCAAACTGTCACTCAAGCCATACAGTTTGAGCACCAGGCACTCATGAGATTAATGTAAACTTGTTAGGTTTTAAAAAGCATCCATTAAAAAAAGATATTTTTTTTATTATTCTCACATTTAATAATGATACAGATTTTTATCAACCCTTAGTGGCCAAATTTAAATCAAACTGAATGTCAAGACAGTAACAAAAAAGACCAGGTGTCTTTTTACACAGAGAATGTAAAAACCTGGTTAAAGTGAGCCATAAACTAATCTAGCTCATAAACATTTATCATATATAACGTTATAAACATCCAGTTTATCAGAAAATAAAATCTGGTATAAGTTTACCTTGAAAATGAACTGAAAACTAAATGAATACCATTCCTTCAACAAAAATGAACTAAAAACCAATAAATGCCATGTCTTAGAATAGAAGAGGAATCAGAAGAGGCTGCTTTAACATTAAAAATTCAGAACTCTTTGTTAAAGTGCTAGAGTAGCTAAAGAGCAAGTCCATTTACAACTACTGCTGATAGGGTGTTCTGTCTTTGCATGTTTTGCACACTTTCCAAGATACAGGGAACTAACTAATCTTGTGCCAGCATCCCTCTCCTGCTTGGCTGCTTTTCAGCTTCTGTACCTCACTTCTGATCTAAATTACTAGAATATGAAAGAAAAGAAATAAATGAGCTTGACACCTCTTATAAAAAAAAAAGCCCCAAAAAATCTGAATACTTGTCACATCTCCAGAGTGGGAAACAGCAAGGATTTATAATCCCCCAAAAATGACAGCTAATGCAAAAATGAATGTGGTTGTATTCTAAGAAGCAGAATGTCATACTGCATTCTTATTATTCACTTAGCTGGATTCAAAAGGTCAAAGCAGACCAAGGCAAAGATTGACCTAGTCCACAAAACAGTGAACAGACAAAGAGCTGTGAGTAAACTTCTATTGATGTTTATTGGTTTGCTTTCTTTCCATTTGCAGAAGGAGCTGCAGAGGTCAGAAGACTGGAATAGGCTAAGTCACACAGATGGAAATAAATCCTGAGATACAATAATCTGTAGAGGGTAAACCCACTGCAAAAAAAGGTTGAAAATCTTTCAAAATACCATGCAGGTTACTTTAAAAACATATTAAATAGAAATTATAAACAATGTGTGGACAAAACTGGCTGAATAGTGTCTGAAATGTACATTTTATCATCCATCATACTTTGAAGCTCTTTCCTAATGTACAGATATCTCTATTCTTAGGTTTTCCAACTGATTATCTCATAAAGTGAAACTCATAACTCTTAAAAAAGTCTAAAGAAAGATGTGTCTAAAAGTTGCAGGAACCTTAAGACCTGAGGAACCCCGTTATGAATTCCTAGAATGGCTCATTATAAGTTTGGCAAAAATAAGTAATAGCCAAGCAATGGTTTTAGAATAGAATAGAAAACCCCTTTATTGTTCCACAATGGTGATATTGTAGGACAGTACTTTAGCTATAGATATAATAATCAATTACATAACATTTGCAGTTCTAAATGCATTCTAGTAAGCTGGATCGAGGGGAAAAATGGGTCCTCGAATTGTAAAACTTGCAGACCGCCACAGAGCAGTGCATAATTGTAAAATGAAAGAACATTTTTCATTACCAATTAAAATCTAAGAGGTGTTGTGTATTTTCACATTCATGGAAATTGTTGAGTCTGCTGCTTAGAAATGAAAAATATGGCACCACTGGATATCCAACAACACATACATCTGTTGTCATAATAGTTTATGCCGATTATGAATTAAAACACTATTGCAAAATTTAAATATTTGTTTAAGATGCTTTAAGATCGCCTGGCTTCTGAACCTTCTAATCCGTTAAATTACATGCAGTTCACTAAAAGGACTGCAGATGGTAATACAGCTTGAAATGCCTGGTGAGCAATGCCCACAGTGTCTCATAAATCATTGGCGGATACGAACATCAGAGAAAGGAAGAGTGTTTTGATGACTGGCACATTTTTGTCACAGAATAATATTTTAGAATGTTTTCAGGAAGGATACTTAATTGAAACGAATCCAAATAATTATATATAGATTAGTACTTATTTAACAACAGAGGCATCAAGTAATGAAGTACAAATACTTTGTTACTGTACTTAAGTACACTTTTTAGGTATCTATACTTTACTCCATTACTTATTCTTCTTCCTACTTCTGACTTCTACTCATTACATTTTCACACAATATCTGTACTTTCTACTTCTTACATTTTTAAAACAAACGTTACTCATTAGTCTTGGCTTTGGTTTAATGTTTATAAATAGTTATTTCACATCATGTGCACCATCCAATGCAGATCATTGGCACCATCCAATTCTAGTAAAAAACTAGTGTAATTGGATGAGTCCTATAACGCAAACGCTCTGTGGTTAGCTAAAGGAAATCATTAGAAGCAAGCAGGTGTTCTTCAAACTGCAAACAAGAATTGTCTATGCCATGCTACAATGTCAGATTCAGAAAAAGATGTTGAAATGTCTGAAAGGTTGCACTGAGCTTCAGTTATTCTACAAATAGGTTCATTTTAAAAGTGCATTTCCTTGACTGATTCTACAAATGGCAAAGTACAACCAGACAGAGCAATTTTCTGCAGTTTTTTTTCTTCTTTGTTGTTTTGTAAAAATATGTTAAGACCCTGTAAAGTTTACCTTGCCATTCATACATACGTGCTAATTGGCATTGGTCTATCATATAAAATCTCATTATGAATGCCCCACCTCTTGCCCAAAACCAATGATAATAGGCACCTTTGCCAACAGAGCCCTACATAAAAAAAATTAACTGTTACAGACTATGCCTAGATGAATATAAATTATCCTTTTTGATTCAAACATCTCATCAGCAAGTGTTTGACTAATCTGTCAGGCTGTATGTAGCCTACCAGCCAATAGTGGTGGATCCCTGCCTCCAAAAGAGGGGGGATTTTAATAGCCACACAAGCCAGTTAACAATGGAAGAACTCACACTAACCAGCTTTGTGATTTCAAGGAAATACAATAATCATCTATGAGCCCAGGTTGTTCATTTTCACTCATAAAAAATGCTTTTCCCAGAGAGGATCTAATATTATTTTAGATGATATTTGGAAGAGTCATTTTGGACAACCTTTAATAAAGGATACAAATGTCACTACTGTATAAAACCTTTCTAATTCTTGCATAGGTCTGATATTTCAAGCAGCTGTGGTTGTAATGCTGTGGTAGAAAACCTACCTGTTTAATTTCAAAAACATACACTCCAAAGAGGAATTCTAGATTTAAGGTAGGCAAATGTAAAATCTTTCAACTCTAAACACACACAAATATTAAATATACATCAGTGTTTCCTAGACATTCATTCTTCATTCATGTTATTGCATCTGTGTTTTAACTCTACAGTTTCTGACAAAATATACTGATTATTGACGTCTGGTGGCGATTATTAGATATTATCTGAGGAAATATTTGCAATATTTTAAAGTTTAAGTGCAGCTAATACAAGAAGGGTGCAGTTATCATGTGGTGATGGCAAATATAGAGCAGAAAATGCTTATTTAATAATGATACTTATATTAATGACCAGATTCTAATTAAATCAGAAACTTCTTACTGTTGGGCAATGGAACAATAATTAAGTTAACGCTTACACAGACATGCATGACTGTCTATTGCAACTTACGTTGCAGCCGCGGAAACGTGTCCACTCCTTGTCCGTTGGGCTCCTAAATGCATTTGTATGCATTTGTCCAGGAAGCAGAGATCTGGGCGAAAATAGAATTGCACTCAATGGGATGCCTGCACATGGGCTAACCCTCTGGCAACGACCAAAAAAGAAGCGTTACAGTGGACAGAGAGTGGCTGCCACCTCAGAAGTTCTTCATTGCACTACACTGGTGAGATGTTTCCTTTTCAGAAAGTAAAACATCTGGTGCGCTCTGCGGCGCGCAGGACAATCTGGCTGTTTCTATCCAAAAGTGAAGACGCGCAGCAGTTCAACAAGCAAGCTGGGGGGAAAAAAATCAGAAGCCGCTTTGACAAGAGATCTGTGCACGATTGCTTTGATGGATCCGGAGAATGTCTCCAGTGTGGACACAACAGGAGACTGACTTGTGTGCGTCTTCTCCTTCAGGCGCTGGTTTCAGCTATGTGCCTCGACTTGCAGCGATGCGAGTGGACCCGCATTCACCCCATCACAACTCTAAACCAGCTGGTGGTGTTGGATTTCAGCAGACTTACCCGTGACATCACGGAGGGATATTTGGCTTGTGCTCTTCGCTGTCTGATAACTTCATTTAACTACTGTGTCACGTTAAACCGAGGTCAGTGTGCTTTAAGGTTTACATTGTGGGTTGCTCATCTTGTTAAAACGGCAGTGAAATTGAAAGAGTACAGTAAAAAAAAAAAAAAAACTAAATAAAACTGACTCATGCAAAGATTATTAATAAGCATTTTTACTCTTTTTACTACTTTGTTGTAACATAAATAAGAGTTTAATTGTTAAGTAGAATATTAAACATGTTTTTTTCCCTAAATACATATAGGCTAATACATTTCTGCAAGTATTCACCCCCACCTAGTGAAATAATGGAAGACCCATCTTTTTTATAATGAGAATTTTGGGGAATAGATGAAAGGTGTCTATAAAAAGCAATTTGAAGGCCTGTCCACAGATTAATGAGTCACTTTTGAAATTTAATATGTTTGAATCTAAAAGTATTCCATTGCAGTTGCGGGTGCAGGTGTTCGACATTTCGCCTGTCGAAAAGTAAATATCTCTTTCAGTCTAAAGTTTTGCTGCCTCTTATAGGTGTTTTTTCTCATGAAAGCCCAGTACTTATTTCTGGTATCTTAATCTAACCTTATAAATGACAATGGAAACTTCACATTGGATTTTAAGCCAACATGAATTTGTCAAAGTTTGGTGGAGGTTTTTGAGGACCTAAATGCAGAGATTCGTTTTTGCTGATTTAATAAATTTCCCCTGCCGATTGAGGCAAAAATCCAGGAACAAAATTAAGAGAACAAAAATCAGGAGACACCAGGGAGAAACAACACATGGGGAGCAAGCAATGAAGCAACATATCAACAAGAAACCAGCAATGAGGAACTGCAGAGGTTGTGTATATATGGGGAACAGAACAAAGGATGGGCTAACGAGCTGATATGGAGCAGGTGTGGATAGAACTAACTAGAAGGGAAGAAGTAAGAAAAAGGAAGTAAGCACAAGGGGGCAACAGAGAGTAACTCAAGAACACAACACTGTTGAAAAACAACTACTAAGATACAAAATTACTAAGAAACTAAAAATAAACCAAAAACAAAGCTCAGAACCCCGACAGGATTCTGTGAACACCCATCCTGCCTCCACATTTATGCAATATCCCAATTTCTTTAGATGTATTTCTATATACTTTTTTCAGCTATAGGTTTCCTCGATCCACTTTTCTATGAAGGCCATTATAAGGTGCAATTAGTTGCCCTGTCCCAATGTCTCTGGCATTACCATTCATGTTTACTTCCGTGAACACAGAGCATGCTGGATTGTGATGTCATTACGTCCTCTACTGCGCATGCGGGACATTTGCGCTGTATGAACGCAGTTTACACAGGAGATGACATACAAGTCTCATATATTTGGAAATGTGAGTGGCAAGGCAAAAAAAATCAGATTTAACAAAAAAAAAATCGTAATTGAGCTTGAAGGCCTGCAGTGTGAACGTAGCCTAAGTAAGTGTGCTGGTTTCAAAATCCTTCTTTTTCAGATATTTAAGTGAATAGGACTCGTTAATGCTTAAGCCTAGTTATGTTTTGTTTGTTTCTTTAAACTAAGGCTGCCTTATATTTTTTTTATATCTTTATTTAGATTTTATTCATTTAGAAAAGAAAATAGAGGATATGCATATTAATGCATATTAATGAACATTAGACAATGGAAGTATGCCAGATTATAGCCTTTGGCTAATTTCCATCTGCATTCCACCTGGCAGGTTGATGTCACAGGCAATTAAGATATTTACAAAACACACTAAAGAAGGACAGATACAGACACAATTAAGTCCATCGTAGTTAGAACACACACGCAAAAGGTTAACGACTATAGTAATCTTATCCCTGACATGTCTGGTGTGTTCTGTGGCATCCATGTTAATGTTTGACAAAATACAAACCTTTTTGAAGCTTCCAAGTCATCTACTAACTCTGTCCGTCTCATTAAATCCCCCAAAAGTACAATAATAGTTGCTGTGGAAATGTAATAAAATTTGTTCATTTTCCAAAACACTTTAGTGTGAGAAGTTTCAATCCAACAGGTCCATATGCCTACATTTAAATTTTAGTGGTGTCAGAAAACATCTTTGCAGGTGCTGATAAAGTTTGAAATAACTTATCTTTGTGACTTTTTAACTGTGCTTTGTTTATGTCCCTGTAGAACAGGCACCCCCAACCTCGGTCCTCGAGGCCCCCTGTCCTGCAGGTTTTAGAAATTTTCTTGCTCCAGCACAGCTGATGTTAATTGAAAGCTGATTAACAGGCTTTTGGTCTACTGCAATCATTATAATCAGCTGTGCTAAAGCAGGGTAACCTCTAAAACCTGTAGGACAGCGGGCCTCGAGGACCGAGGTTGGGGATGCCTGCTGTAGAACACTCTGATGCAGATTTGCCCTAACAGGTTTCAGCATAATTCTTCTCTTCATTCTTGAAAAACAGAGCTCCGTAAGTCTCCAAATCAGATCCAGACTCCAACCCAGGAACCCCCCCCCCCACCCCCACACACACTTCAAACACAACTCTGCATCTTCCTCTGGATCTTCACTCAATTTTGCCTGGACTGAGCGACAGTCCATATGGTCTGCAGTTCTAGAGCGGGCGGGTGGGTGGTGGAGGGGGGGGACTTAATTTTCTGGTTCTACTATCAGATGCAACCTACATAAAACAAAAAGACCAATAAATATGTTTACTGGCCAAAGGAATGAGAGGTCAGACTGACACAGAAACTCTAAGCTAACATACTATCTGTGTAAACAGTGATCTTACTATGTTTATGTTTCCAGCAGACATAGTAGAGATCTTTAAATCTCTGTATCAGTTGGTCAATCTTTCATCTTCTTCACCAAAGCTTACAGTATGTTCTTGGGCAGAAGATGCACACCGGTTGCACTGCTCTCCCATCAGCCTGTACCTGGGGATAGCCATGTTCTGAGCAGATGTTTGTCTGCACTGCCAGAAACACAGGTTTGGTGATGCAAAAAAAGGCATAAAGCACCAATTTGGGTTATATCAGTTAAACTTAGATAAAGTTGCAGATTATTTGCAGCCAGAAAGCCTTGTAAAACTGTTTTTTATTATATTGTAAAATGTTTTCAGAAAAATCCTTCCCCGATTAAAGGCAAACTTTTCAAGATGATTTACTTCTTTTTCCTTGAGTCCAGATGTGCGCTGAGCATCAGGATCTTGGGCCCAATGAGTGGCCGATAATCAGAATCAGCTCATGTCTTGTTTTTCTCTCATGCTGAATCTGCAATAGCAGATGAGTGTACCCTTATCCTCCTCCATGTGGTGTTTCCCTCCTGGAGTTTCAGAGGTGTTTCCTGTAGGGTGGCAAGAAAATGTTCTATAATTAAATCTGAATTACATTACAGACATTTCCCCCTTTCAACAGAGTTTTAGAAGTGCACAATGTCTAGACATGTCTCAGATTTACTTGTGATTTCCTTAGAATCTAGTTACAAAGGTTTATTAAATACTAAACGAGGTCATTTACAGCTTTGGCATTGTGCTGTTAAAGCAACTCTTGCTCAATTCACTCTCAAATGTTGACTCTATTGTTGTCTATGTTGGCACTGTGCTAGCACCAGTTCTCTGTACAAAAGAGAGAAATTAATTATGGTTTTTGGAGACAGCTTGGTTGCAGTCTCTGTTTCAGCAGGTGTGAGTTCATACCCCTAAATGCAAATTTCTGTTCTCTCTGTTGAGAGAACATGAACTGACTCAGTGCTAGTTATTGGAGGTCAGGATCCACACTGGCAGGATAGCGTGCTTAATGCTTAACGTTTCAAAAAAGAGCAACAGCTTGTAAATTTCAGGAGCATCTTGACTTTCAGCCTAATTACAAGTCACCCAAGCGAGTAAAGACATAATAAAAAAAAATCAGGGACAGGACAGATTCTGTGAGCTGTAAAGTGAGGGAGAGAAAATGTTATCCTTTTTTGGTTGTGTTTTTGTCTACTTGCCTTTTCATTGAAGATGCTGCAGACACAGTGGTTTACAATGCCTTCATGCATTCATGCTGCTGAAGCTTTCTCCCACACTGTGACAAAAGTCTTTAAACAGCTTAGAATGATAGACCAACACAAAAAATTGCATAATTATGAAGTGGAAGGAAATTGATAAACTATCTCCAATGTTAAAAGTGCTGTACATTCTGATCCCTTTACTCTGATTCCACTAACTATTCTATTCTATCACAAGAATAATTTCCTCCAACCCACACTCTTTTTGTTCCACAAATTCATGAGTGCTTTGTTAGTTATTTTAAGCTCTGGAAATAGTTTAATAAATAAACCTTAAGTTAAACTTCTCCAAAGTTTCAGTCCTGAGCTGACTGTTGTATTCGTTGATCTTCATTATGTTGGTTTTTAACTAATGTTTCTCGAACAAACATCTTAGTGCGATTCAGTTTATATTAGATATATCAGTAACTCTATTTACTAGCTGCATGAGTCTTCCTGGATTTTATTAAGGAGAATCAGATTAAAACGAGTTGAATACAATTGCATTCCACACTTTTCAAATTTTAATACGTAAAAACATTATGCTTCAACCACTGAAATTGTGAGAGACTGTGTCATCTTATCACATATCACAACTGTCAGATTAAAGAGAAGTTACAGAGCTTCTTAACAATACTGCCACCTTTGGACAAAATACAGAACTGCAACACTCTTCTGCTCGTTCTCCTAACTCCTACTCGTAATTGACAAGGTTGTTTATTTTACTTTTTCCACCTTACTTTGAGTTGCTATTGGTGTCCGAGTTAAGCCGGATGCCTGTCGCTTCGGAGTATCCACAAAATCCATTTTTATTATAACACTTTGATTACTTGCTAGGTCAAACCCATTTAAAATGACACACTTGGTGTCAAATCCGCCGAACAGCACGGTAACTTCCCACCCGAAGTAATTTTAAG